TGTGATGCCAGCGTCGGAAGCCCGTGTGGGAGAGGGGGAGGGGGAGGGGGGGGGAGGAAAAGAGGGGGTCATGCACAAGGCTCCCCCCCCCCCTCCCCGAGTGCGCATGCGTGCTCAGGCAACGCATCGACGACGACGACTCTCGCAGGCAGCCGGCAATAAGAGGGGGGGGGGGGAAAGGTATGAAGGCTGAGGAAGAGAGAAGGGGAAATGAATGAAAGAGGGAGCTAGAGGAAAGGGGAAAAGAAGGGGAGAGGAAGCGTGGAGGACGTGGGGAAGGGGGAGGGGAAGGAGGATTAGGGGGGGAGGAAGGGAAGGAGGAAGAAGGGAGAGGAGGAGGAAAGGAAGGAAGGAGGGAAAAGGGAGAGGAGGAGGAGGAAAGGAAGGAAGGAGGGAAAAGAGAAGGGAGGGGAAAGGGATGAAGGGAGAATGAACGGCGTTGGGAGAAGGAGAGGGAACGGGAGGAGGAAGGAGGGGGGAGAGAAGGAAGGAAATGGGAGAGGGAGAGAAAGGGAAAGAGGGAAAAGGGAGAGGGAGAAAAAGGGAAGGAGGGAAAAGGGAGTGGGAATGGCAGAGAAAGGAAAGGAGAGAGAAGGAAGGAGAGAAGGGAGGAGGGAGGAGGAGGAGGAGGAAGGGTAGGAGGGAGGAGAGGGAGGAAGGGTAGGGGGAGGGAGAAGGAGGAGGAGGAAGGGAAGGTGGGAGGATGCAGGGAAAGGAGGGAGGGGGGAGGAGGAGGAGGAGAAGGAAGGGAAGAAGGGAGGAGGAGGGAGGAGACGGAAGATGAGGAGGGGAAGGAGGGAGGATGCAGGAAAAGGAGGGAGGAGGAGGAGGAGGAGTAGGAAGGGAAGAAGGGAGGAGGAGGGAGAAGGAGAAGGAGGGGGAGGAAGGATGAGGGGGGGGGAAGGGAAGGAGGGAGGAAGAGGAAGAGGAAGAGGAAGGGAAGGAAGGAGGAGGAGGAGGGAGGAGGAGGAAGGGTAGGAGGTAGAAAGAGGGAGAAGTCGGGGAGGAAGGGAAGGAAGAAGGAGGAGAGAGAAGGAGTGGGAGGAGGGGTAGGAGGAAGGAAGGAGAAGGAGGGGGAGGAAGGAGGAGAAGATAGGGAAGGAGGGAGAAGGAGGGGGAGGAAGGGTAAGAGGGAAGGAGGGAGGAGGTTGGAGAAGGAGGGAGATGAAGGGAGAAGGAAGACGAGGAAAGAGGAAGAAAAACGGGAGAGGGAAGAAGAGGAGTCAGAAAAAAAGGGAGAAGAAAGAGGGGGAGTAAGGGAACAAGGGAGAAGGATTAGAGAAAAGGCAAGGAAGGCAGGGTCGCGGGGGCCAGGGGGGGAGGGGATGGAGGGGGGGGAGGGGATGGAGGAGGGAGGGGGGAGGGGGGGATGGAGGAGGGAGGATTTATCGCTTTCGACAATGCCTTTCCAATTTCGTACTTCAGATAGTTGGAGGTAGATATTGCAATTGCATTAACCCTTTTGCAATTCCACATACTTCTCGCTGTGTGTGTGTGTTGTGCGAGTATGTATGAATGTATGTATGTACGTATGTATGTATGTATGTATGTATGTATGTATGTATGTATGTATGTATGTATGTATGTATGTATGTATGTATGTATGTATGTATGTATGTATGCATGAATGTATGTATGCATGAATGTATGCATGAATGTATGTATGCATGAATGTATGCATGAATGTATGTATGCATGAATGTATGTATGTATGAATGTATGAATGTATGTATGTATGAATGTATGTATGTATGTATGAATGTATGTATGTATGAATGTATGTATGAATGTATGTATGTATGAATGTATGTATGTATGAATGTATGGATGTATATATGTATGAATTCATGAATGTATGAATGCATGAATGTATGAATATAGGAATGTATGGTGTATGAATGTATGTATGTATGAATGTATGGATGTATGGATGTATGTATGTATAAATGTATGGACGTATGAATGTATGTATGTATAAATGTATGGACGTATGAATGTATGTATGTATAAATGTATGGACGTATGAATGCATGAATGTATGAATATACGAATGTATGGTGTATGAATGTATGTATGTATGCATGCAAATACCAGAGCCATCCGCCAGCGTGACCCGCCCGCACCCGCCCGCACTCGCCCACTTCCGCGGCACATTTCGAGAGGGTTTCCGCGGCCAAAGCATAGTCGCAATGAACCGAGACATCGATGGCGGTTTTGAATGAGATAGCGCTTCATCTCTCCAATCTATATTCTGAAGAATTTATTCGCGTCAAGTTATATGTAAATGTTACATCTAGTCACAAAGTTAAACGATACACACACACACACATACACATACACACACATGTGTGTGTGTGAGTGTGAGTGTGAGTGTGAGTGTGAGTGTGAGTGTGTGTGTGTGTGTGTGTGTGTGTGTGTGTGTGTGTGTGTGTGTGTGTGTGTGTGTGTGTGTGTGTGTGTGTGTGTGTGTGTGTGTGTGTGTGTGTGTGTATACATACATACATATATATATATATATATATATATATATATATATATATATATATATATATATATATACATATATATATATATATGTATAAAAATATATCTATATTTATTTATTTATATAAGGAAATACTATGCGGCCGCACGCACTCTCTCGCTCACTCACACTCTCTCCGGCTGTCAATACCTTTCTCTGTCAGTCTCTCTATCGCTCTGTAAGTCAGTCAGTCGGTCAGTCTGCCTCTCTGTGTGTGCCTCTCCCTCAAGCAGCTTAAATAAGTACACATACCGAAATCGTGTTCGAAATGTTGTATCAACTTGAGGTTAAAGGAGAACAGACCCTCGGTCGTTAGAAAGATCAACCTGTTTTACATTTAATTGAGGAACGACAGAAAGGTCACAACAAACAAAAAAGGTTTCTTCTCTCCGCCCTTACTTCGTCCTCTCCCTCCTCCCCATGCTCTCCTTTCACTTCCCACACTCAATCATCTCCCTTTATCTCCCTTATCTTCACCATCTCCCTTACTCTTCCAACCCCCCCTCCCCCCCGGGCTTCAACCTCCCGAAACAAAGGTGTTCTTCGTCCCGCTTCCGCCGTCTCCTTCAAGGGAAATGGATCCTTTGATATTTTTTCTTAGTTTGCTTTCTTCTTTCTCTTCTCTTCTCTTCTCTTTTCCTCTCTTAGGTTCTCTTTTCTTTTCTCTTCTTTTTCTGCTATTACTCCTTTTTTATCTCCTCCTCCTCTCTCTCTCTTTC